AACAAGAAATGCTAAAAATAGGCCAAAATTAACCCTAACTAAAACCCCATTTAAAGTTAATTAAAAACAAGCATAGCCGGTTACTGCGCAAGTAGCACAGAATGTTCCGACCAGTCTTTAAAAATTTCCTTAAAATTTTTCTTTCAAATTAGTGTCGTTTTTTCAGCGTGGTGTCTGATCGAAAAAGTAGGGCTTAGACATTTTCGTCAGTCATTATAAAATATGCAAATTGGAAAAAAATTTTTGAAGACAAATCACAAGAAAAACAAAAATTAATCGGAATTTTTTTTTGTTAATTTCCAAATTTTTTTCCCAAATATTTGAAGTTTTTGATTCCTAAGATAAAGCTAAAAACTCCAAAAACTAACTTCATTTGAGTAAAACTAATTTTTCAAGGCTTAAAATGAGCATAAATAAGCTAATGTAAGCCTGCTCACTGGCTCGAAATTAGACGAAAAATTAAAGATTTCAAATCGGTTTTTCTCGACACTGGGAAAATTTTTTTGAATTGTTAAATTTCGTTCAAATCACGACTGAAAGGGCTTTAGTTTGATAAATCACTCAACCCAGTCCTATTATTTTTTGGCAGCTGACTCTACGTGGAAAACAAAAAGAAAAAACTAAAACACAGGCCCGAATGCAAAGTTACTCCCCATTTTCAATGATCGAAACAATAATCTTAAAAAACTTTAATAATGCTTAATTTTGCTCAGCTGAATTTGATCGCCTAATAGGTACTATTTGAAGGTCAAACTGCTTTCTTGGTAGCCTCTCAAGTCTCAGTTGTTTCAAGTAATTATACTTTCACATATTTTCATTTTTATGTTGCAAACTTTAAAACAAAGTTTATTATGACTAATATTCTTATGACACAGAGGCAAACCGGAGCTTCGCACCACTTGCGATACAACACTAGCATAAAATAAAAACATCAGAAGCGGAAAACGAAAATTTCAGCAAAAAACTAGGTCTGATAAATTTTCATATGTCTCTTTAGAAACTCATTCCAGGCAAACATGCCGGAAACTTGAATTTTAAATCAGCAACAACGGAACAAAACTTACGAAAATAAACACAGCCGACAATCTTTGAGCAGACACAAATTGAGCAAAAAAAACGATTGTAAGAAAAGAATGGACAACACCTGAATCAACATTGGACAATAATTGCAGTTGCAACTACAATGAAAGTTGTTTCCTTTCATCAGAGACACCAACTGAACTGAAAAAAAAAGTGGAAAACTTTTAAGAAACCTTTCAAGTTCCCCCTTAAAAATAAAATGAACAATATTTGCACTTGCAACTACAAGGAAAATTGTTTACAACACAAAAATAATCTGTTGTCACAATTTAGCCGACAAAACCTGAGCGAAAAAAACGAAAAACCAACAATTCACTTTTCTCTGAATTTTTTTTTCAGTTTCCTTGACTCTAACCCCACACCTTAGGGCACAAAGGCAACTGCTTTACCTCCAGGCCAAGGGGGAAGCAACCTGAAACAAATTAAAAGAAGATAAGAAGAGAAGTTACCAGAAGATAAAAAGAGAAGTGAAAAAGAAATGAATCAACTGTTTGTTAAACCAGTTGTTAACCCGAAAAAAGACAACATTTCAGTTTGATAACGCTTGCTTATTGCAAGCGTAATAAGCAAAAAATTGAAGAAATTCAGGTTTAATCTACCACCAAATATAACGCTTTAGGGCCCCGGCAGTCATCCGAATCGATCGCAACTGAGGCGTCGAACTTTTTGCTTCTCGGCTTTTGTAAGTTTTTAAATTGCTCACTCGTCCTGTTTGATTACATGAAGTTCACTTTGATATTACGTTTTCCATTATCTCATCAGTATTTCAGATCTATTTTTTTTATTCATTTCTTATTGCTCGATGACTTTCGTTTTTCTTTCGTTCGCATGTCCAAATCTCAAGAAAATGACTTTGATCAATTTTCTATCGAATTCTTTGTTATGGAACCTCTCCGTTCAAAAATGTTTTTCTCCGTATCCCGTATTCTTTGTTTTATCCTCAATTTCTGCCAATCTACTTTACTTGGTGGCCCACAGCCCATCGTTTTACTTTAAAGATCTTTTCTGGTGTTCAAATTTAATTATTCAGAAAATCAAGTGTTATATGTAATTTTTCGATTGCTTCAGTTCATACCAGCATTGATATCTCATCATAAATCATGTTCAGTTTCAACCAGATAAAGCTATCTGCCACTCTAACTGGTGGCAGTTAAACAAATTCTGCTTTTTACAACCCCTCAGCCAACCTTGAGTACTTAGCCATTCTACCTTCTGTAGTTAGCTTTTTGTTCTTCAATTCTTCATGCCTTTCCGCTATAGTTGTTTGGAAAATTCGCACAATTTCTTTTAACATACCCTGAGTTTTTTCTGTTCATTCGGTCTCCTCTTCTACGACCTCCCATTTTTGAACCATAAAACAATTGATTTTACAATCTCTCAACCAATGATCCAATGGTATCTATCTGAACCGTCTACCGAGTTGTCGCTTTCCTCCCCGAGCTGACCTATATCCCCCTCGTCTCCATTGATTAATTGCTCTGTTTGATTGATTGAACCTCTATTCTGTCTATGGTTATTAAACAGAATATTTTATGCTTGATTCTCAATTACTGTATTTCGTCGCATTTCTGCTCTTATACCAAATGGTCCATTCAATTTTCTAGTTCTTTGTTTTGTGCGATTTTCGCTATGTTTATCTTGATTGTCTCACACAAGTTCGACTCTTCTAATAGTGCAATAAAGAAGATGCTGTATTTTACTGACAAATCAACTTCGTTATTTGCTCGAACACCTGACCTTCTGCTTCTTAGACATTTGCTCTATCCACTAGGCTACATTCCTAGATGTATCTGCCTAGTTTTAGCTGTATATAATTTGTTATAAACAAATGTAAGTTTGCATTGTATAGCTACTGTTACTCGAAGCATGTTTATCTCGTAGCGGTTGAGCAGTGAACTGATTTCTGGTTATTTATTTTCAGAAACTGTTTATTTCTAAACTAGAAAAGAAATAGATCCTTTCTGCACGGAAAATAGGTGATTATTCACAAGTACCAAAATGATAAATCAGTCGCATTTGCACCAAAATAAAAAATCAATCATGTTAGTACCAAAATTATTCAATAGGCCAACAACTATTAAGCCCACTGTTTTAAGCCGAATATTTTAAGCTCTTGGTTTAAGGTCGCTAGTGGGCGCGCTACACGCGCGTCGCCGCTTTGCGGCGATAAATGGCTCTAAATTTCGTATAGAGACATACCCTCTATTGGCAAGCTCGCAACACGTTGGCGCGACTGCGGTGGTCACTATTCTGCTGCTAAGTTTTCTTCTGTTTGAACAGTAGAAAATTATTTTAATTATTCGTTGGCTCACAATTCGACCAATCAGAAAACGAGTTGAATAATTTTGGTACAAATGGGACCGATTTTTCATTTTGGTACAAATGAACGTTGGTACAAATGGGAGTTCACCGGAAAATACGAGAAAACTAGGATAGATAATCTACATAAAATTTCTATCTAGAAAAACAGCTTCCGTTGGGTACGGACTCCACTATCAAATTTGGATGCCGATATTCTTCGACATTTGTTGACTTCAAGACGTGTATATTACCATCCTCCATCTTGTTTTCAATGCCTTTTCCCCTTAGTTCCTTTCTTTAATATTATTTTTCTTCTGACTTTTTTAATGTCTTAGTCTTTCAATTTTGCACATGGTTTATTAGTCTTCACCGAATCTCTTACTAGTTGTTCTCTTCATTCGTGTGGTTCACATTTATACTGTGTAGTATATCTCAAGCCGGTGTTCCTTCTTCCTCTTTTTTTTGCTCTCTGCGAAGTTTCTTTCGATTTCATCATTTCCCTTGAGCTCGTACTGTTTCTTGTCCTCGTTTTTCGTCTTGTATATTTTCCCCATTTTTATTACAAAAATCTCTCACCTTTATTTTTGCCGTTAACCTCCTCCTACCATGTTGAAGTTACCTCTGTTGGCTTAAGGTTGCCGGTGGGAGCGCTACGGGGCTGCGCCATTTCACGTTAATAACCAGCTCTAGACTCAAAATGAAGTCTTTTTGTCCGTTGCCAAGCTTGCAACACGCGTCATTCAGTATTTGTTCCAACTTTCGATACGAAAGTAACGGAATATTTGTGCTCGGGGTGGGTTTTTTTTCTTCAGACAAATTTCGACTTTTTAACTAGCCAATTTTGACAAAATTTTTTAATATCATTCAAAAGGCATTCTTGTCCTGAGCTTAAATTTGAAAAGATATTTTACTGTGATCATTTTTTGTAAAGTTATGGGGGTTTAAAAATTGCCATTTTAGCCAATTTGGGACAATTAACGCGCGATATATTTCGCTCTGTTAACGGGTAAGCGGAGATTTAATCCGTCTTAGAAATCTTTCCAAATGGGGAGGGTTCTCATGCTAGAAGGACCGAATGTTTGAAAAATTTCAACCAATCAAAATCGTTAAGCGTTTCTATTGGCTAAATGCTTTCTCACAAAATCGAAGTCAATATTAACAGAAAATGTATTAAATCAGTGGAAAATAACCAAAAACATTACAAAATGCGCGTTACAACCGCAATATTATTCAGATAATTATCAAGATTAATGAGGTGAGAATCATAAGAATTTTTCAGTCTTGAAAACTCACTTGCTTATTATCTAAACGGTCAATATTAACACTAATGGCCTTGACTGATTTTCTTACTTTGAGATTTTCGCGATTTACTTTGAGATTTTGAATACTCAATTCTGATTGGCTGATAGAAAGCTAAAATTAATTTCAAGCATTGGGTCATTCAAGCATTTAGAATTTTTTTTTCATTTTGTTTTATTTCATTTAATTTTTAAATGTTATTACTGCTCCATAAACCTTAAAAGGCATTCGAAACATTCAGGGCTTCGCCCTGATGCCAACAGTTTTGTGTGATTTTATGTTGCCTGAAAAACAGCTAATGTTTGCGCGTTATTTTTTTAAATTATAAATTGAGAAAGAAAACTTGTTTGCTTGGTGACCGGCATGTGATTAAAGCAGTATGCATTTTTGCCGCATAACTATTACTATGCAAGTCGATTAGCTTGCACATGTGAAATATTGCAGTTGAATCGACGGATAGTTCATTTAGGTTCAAGAGTTCAAGTGTTCTTTCAGGTAAGAATAAAGTTTCAGATATCCTAACAACCCAAGTAGTTTTCAAAGTGTGCTGATTTTAAGGCTAAGTTAGGTTTTTTGGGTCTTATGCACTAAACGGCCCAAAATAAGTATTTCTACATCTTGATCATATGTCAATGTGGATCAATCTGATTGATTAATTAGTCAATCAAAGCAAGCAACCTTGTGTCACATTTCCATTAAAATTCAAAGCAGATAAAATGACTGGCCAAAATGACCAAAAATATGTTGAAACCGTTTTGCAGAACTTTTCCGTCTTGGCAAAATTTCACTAAAAACATGAATTAAATTTTTTAGTTGACTACAATTCACACTTTCGGTAAATTCTGCTAACATTTTTCAGCTGGACTAGTTGTTTGAAAAGCCTAACCATGTGCTAGAACTTGATTGGCTAATATTAGCCAATCAAATTGTGCCGCATAAAATTTGGGGGCTTTTCTCATGCGCGAAGAACTGAATGGGCGAAAAATTTTGTGAGCGAAAGACCGAAAACAAAATTAGCCGAAAGTCAATTTTTGGAAAAAAGCAATTGCCATTGAATTAAAATGAACTAAATGCAGCAACATTTTGCTTCTTTCATAACAAAACCCTTGAAACATAAAATTTGTTCCAATTTGGCGGCGTCAGTGACAATTTGAAATTTTGGCATTTTTCTACCGTTTTTATATTCGGCCAATATCAATTTTCAGTCCCTGGAAATGTTTATTTTTTTTCCAAACTTCAGATTACTGAGTCTGATTGGCTGATTTCTATTTTCGGGCATTCGGCCCTTCGCGTTTTATAGGTTCCACCTAAAATTTAGGTAAAGTTAAAAATTTTGATTTTGGGCCGTTTTGTGCATAAGTCCCGGTTTTTCTGAAAAAAGCTCTCATTGTAGCATTTATTGTATATCAATCGACATAGGTGTTTATATCAATATACTCCAGGGGGCCAGCCTATTAGCATGTGTAGATGAGCCCGCCAATGTGAATGATTGCAGTTGGTTGACTCGATGCTTAGTTAATGATTTGTTCACTGAATTTTGAATGTTTGAACAGCTTAGCACTTCGACAAATTTTTAATTGGACAAAAACGAAATGTAAAGTCTCTCAGAAAGCCAAATGATTTTCAAAATTATTTGAAAATTTGAGCTGGATGAAGTTAACATCCTCCCCCGCCCCCCACCTGATTGGCTGAAAGTTCGAACTCAGAACCAAGTTAACATCCTCCCCTCTAAACGTGTTAACATTCTCCATGTCCCCCAAACCCGTTGGGGGGGGGGGGTGTTAACTTGGTTCTAAGTTGGGATTTTCCAGCCAATCAGAATCAAGCTCCTTACATGCAGCGCTTAGCAAATTTAATAAAAAAGCACTGGGGTGGAGGATCTTAACTTGGTCTACTTGGGGGGAGGATGGAGGATGTTAACTTGATCCGTTAATGTAATCGGGCTGATACGCGTGGTGAGTTTGCCAAAGCTGCGATCCAAACTAGTTATAAAAATGCTTGATGGTTCAACCACCAGGCCACTGGAAAGAGTGTTTATTGTTCCGACTTTCGTAGCGAAAGTAACGGAATATTTGTGCTCGGGGTGTTTTTTTTCTTCAGACAAATTTCGACTTTTTAACTAGCCATTTTTGACGGAATTTTTTTTATGATTCAAAAGGTATTGTTGTCCTGAGTTTAAGTTTGAAAAGATATTTCACCTGTGATCATTTTTCGTAGAGTTATGAGGGTTTAAAGATTGCCATTTTGGCCATTTTGACCAATTTGGGACAATTAACGCGCGATATAATTCGCGCTATTAACGCGTAAGCGTAGATTTAATCCGTCTTATAAATCGTTCCAAATTGGTTGAACGAAGCTTGTTTGCTATAATTGATTTGTTACAAGGAACGAAATCTCTCTTTTTGTACTTTATATGGCGTGTGGGGGGATGATTTTCACAAAAACTTTCAAATTTTAGAAAAAATTTTCATTTTATTTTATTTCATTTCATTTTTTTATGCTTTTACTGCTGCTCCATAAACCTTAAAAGGCAGTCGGAACATTCAGGGCTTCGCCTTGATACGAGCAGTCTTGTTTTTTTATGTTATTACTTATCCATACACCGTAAAAGTCAGAATATTGAAATTGAACTTCGGAACATTGAAATTGAAATCGAGTTGAAATTGAAAGCGCTAAAGAGTGAAACAAACAATTATACACCACTCGCGTGCAATTAGCAGCTGCTGGATTAGAAGTGATTCTAATGATTACTATGAATCCAAATCGAGCAGCTGCTAATTGCACGCGAGTGGTGTTTAATTGTTTGTTTCCCTCGCTTTCAATTTCAACTCGAAATTTGAATTGTCAAATATATCCGTTTAGGGGAGTATAACCGAAAAAACCCAAAATTTGCAATAGGACGAAACTTGCACCAAGAGACATTTTTATCATTCATTTCAGCACTGTAACTACAAACAATGACGACCATCCTGACTTGGTCAATGTACCAGCAGCAGCAGTTGGTGGAAGAGAAAACGGAAAAACACAGCCTGGAAAAAGAGACCTTTGCTCGGCGCTTACAGGAGAAGTGATGGCCCAGGTAAGTGATGAGATTTCTGAGATTTTTATTTGATCAATCATAGACTTCATTTGGATCTAAAAATTGAGCAAGTTTTCTAGACTATTTTCTAACCTGTGCAAGACTTGAACCTCACTAAATCGGATATGAATCTGATATTTTAAAATTGGACTTAATGTAAATGAAGAACAACTTTTAAAAAATCTGGAAACTTCTTGGTTAGCCTCCAAATCCGTCCAAACTTTGGCAATTATCGTCCTTCGGTAATTTTGGCAAAATTTGTTAGTCACATCTTCAGGGGGACAAACTGGACGAGCGAATCAGCAGTATGAGGAGTGAGATATCAGAGCTGAAGCAGTGGATCATGATGCTACAGAATAGTGGAGGGGATCTCAACCCAGAACAAGGCGATGTAGTCAGACCAGCCCCATCCCCTCCCCGTCCGGACCAGAGCCGCTTTCAACCACCTGCAGCCGAAAGCTATCAAAAAATTGACCTGGAGTGCTTTAAAGATGGACAATGAGACATACCTAGAGACTCGATTTTCATTTATTGAAACCTTTTTGGTTTTGCAGATACATTCATTTTTTGCTGCTCTTCTCTGGCATTAAACTTAAACGTTTAAAATGTATTTGCAACTGGTTTATATATCAGAATTCAACCATGCGAATTTCAAAAACTTCCTGAAAACTTATTTAAAAAAAACAGAACACCAAATGCTAGGGGAAGTAATGCAACAGGTAATAAAGACGCAAGATGTTAGGGTGACTATTAATATTTGTATACCTGATTTCCCACATCTTTGTCAAGAACTAGGCAAGCAGATCTCAAAATGTTAGCAGCAAAAGTAGTTGCTGTCACTGCTTTTAGTTGCCTTCTTAAAATCCTTGTAGAGATCATTTTTATTTTTGATTTTAACATCCATCGTCTTCTTTGTTGAACTTCAGGGCAAGGAGACAATTCGTTAGAAACTACAATTTTTACAAAACATTAACAAAAAGCGACGATTCGTAACAAGCGATAATTCGTAATCTGCCATTGGCAAGAAGTGACGACCTGCTCGGCAGCTCTTACATTCGGCACGACAAGAATAGTACGCGTGAACTACTGTTGGAGCTGTCGCCTCACAAGACACCAAATTATTCGGTTCGTGCGCAAATAACGCATTTTAATTCATACGCCACTTACCAAATGAGCAACTGAAATTTGAAATCGATTATAGTTTGTGTTGATTTATAGCAAGCTTTCAATTGAAACATCCGAAAACGCCCAACTAGTTTCACGGGCGTTAGGTTTTTCGACATACCGGCCATTTACCAGACCGGTATTTAACCATAACCAAAAAAAAAACTTTTTAAAGGAAGCTTTTAAAAAGAGCAAAAGTTGAGCGCTTTCTCCAGCGCTCACCTTTCATTCGGCTTGAGATCTAAAAAGCTAATGAAAAAAGCTGAAAAGGTTTCTAAAAGTACCAGTTGTCGATTTCAACGAATTGTCTCCTTGCCCTGACGTTCAACAAAGATGACGATGGATGTTAAAAAAATATACTCAATATTTTAATTGGAACTAAAGGTTGGCGATACAGCAGCCAAGCTGCATCTGGAGCATGCTGTAGGTCTGACATGAGCAGAAGTAAGCTATCAGTCTATAGCCTCACTGGCTAAAACACCATTTTATTCAAGTGTAATTTCATTTTTTAATTCCATAACTTAATTTGTGTTTTAGCTGAGGTAGTTGCAGGCACTTCTTTTGCAATCATATCTGCGGTGATGATTCATTTAATTTATTAAAAAATCCAGCTCAAATGAATAAAAGTGTTGATTATAACTTTAAAACAGAGGCAAATGAAAAATATTGAAAAAAAAACAAGGTGAATCAAAATTTTTGCAGGTTTTCATAAAAATTAACAAGGTATCAGCTCAAGCTCGATATTTTTTGAATTTGTTTTCCACGGGAAGAAATGTTTATTTTCAAAATCTGGACTTTGATCTGGAAAGTTTTTGAGATATGGAGTTTACCCAAAAACAACAATTCTCCCTTAAGAAATTAAGGAGTCGCCTCTTCTGGAGTCTCGCAATCGGTTCTCTCGATTGAATTTTTCATCTCAAATTTGATAGGGTAATTTTTGAAATATGCAAAAAAATTTTGAAAATAGTCGAAATTTCAGTTAAAAAATACATCCTAAAATCCAGGCCGCTAAAATAAACAAGATTCCCGAAACTCAGTTTCTCGAAACAAATCGAAAAAATTTCAAAATTTTAACATTTTTGAAGCCGATAAATTTTATTCTGAAAATAATTGGGCTTAGCCAATTATAAAATTATAAACATAAACTTTCCTGAGCCTGTTTTAAATAAATCTATAATATAAGACAGAGCGGATCTAGGATTTTCTCGAGGGGGAATTTTGAAAAAAAAAAATCGAAAATTTTGTTAACCTTTTTTTAACGGGCCAAAAGGCGTTTTCAGTCAGTTTATGGAAAGATTTGACCAAAAAATAGTGTTTTTTCGGCGCGCTCTCACCCCTCGAACTTAATATAAATTGGCGCCCAAAACGCTTTTAGAAAAATTTAGGGTCCGTTCCCAAAAATGGATATCTGAAAAAAGTACAAAGAGGGACCCTTTGGGTCGGCAGGGGGTCTAGTCCCTGAGAAGGGAAGACGTCCCCCTCCCCCGATCCTCCCTAAATCTGTCCTGATATAAAATTTGGCAGTAAAAAAGCCCAAAAATTGACCAAAAATTTTTAGAAAATTGATTTTCCGAGAACGACTTTCTAAAAAAAATTGTGAGTAGCCGCTAATGCAAACGGGTTTCACACTATCCATTATCTCCATTGAAACCAAATCTCAGAACTCAGAATTTAATTTTCGCCAAAAAAAAAGATTCAAAAACATCAAAAACTCAAATATCCGTGGGCCTCAACTTTGAAACTAAAAAATTTTGGGCTAAGATGCTTGTTCATGGGAGCTTTCCAAAACCCGTTGTATTTGCTTAATTCAAAGTTGCAGATTTGTGATAATAGTTTTGAGAAAAAGATTTAAAAATATGGGGAAAATATTCCACCCACAGAACATTTCGAAGGCTGTCGAAAAAGTCTTGTAAAAAGAGACTAGGACAGTATGCAGGCCCACACGCGCGTAGGCATTCTTTCCAAAAACACTGAAAATCATTGGAATCTTTTTGAGAAAAGGACATTTTGATTAAAGCCCAATCGCATATATTTTCATAAAATCTAGGCAAAATGCCAAGCTAGACATTTGAATTTTAAACTAGCAACGGAATAAACTTGAGAAGTGAAAATAAAACCGAAAACTTTTGAGCAAACATCAGATAACCGATAAAAAAGTTGATTTATGAGACCCCCAAAACTACAATAATTAACATTTGCAATTACTATGGCAGACGATTTGTCCACAAGGGAAAAGACCAGCATACAAGCTGGTCAGCTCATCGCGGAGAAACGCTGCTGTTTCCTGGCTGGAAAACTTCGTGCAAACTTTTTGGTGATTTTTTCTAACTGGGTAATGTTACTTCATTCTCGAGCAACGAGCAACGAGCACGGATGATTGTGGGATTCCAACATCCGGCCTTTCAATTAGGAGGCGGAGACGTAGCCTCAACAAAATACTTTGAGGCCATGCGTTATCAAACCTGGTGATCATAGGTTCATAAACTCAAGCAGCGTCAGATTTTTTTTTAAGAACGACAAATTCCGTGGTTGGATTGCATTTCGGCGATACTGCGCTCTTACATGGGAGCCACTCATTCTTTTACACTTTTTTGGATCAGATTAGGCTGGAAGCTGCTAAGCAAAAGTTCATTTTTTCAAACGCAAGGGGAAGCAGCAACCAAAATAGCAAAAAATAGACTTATTCAATAAATACCCCATTTTTGATTAGTCGAATTGTCTGATTCAATTGAGTGTTTTTTGAAGGTATTTGTTTGAAACGCATGGCTGATGTTTTGAGAGGCGCTAGAGGTAATGGTAAAAAATAGTTTTTATTTCCTTTGCATTTTAAAGCACATGCATTATCCATTACTCTCAAAAAATTTGATTATACATGAGTTTTACTTGTCTAACTAATGATAGCAACGCACTATAAAGCTTCAATCTAAATAAATTTTTGTCTGTTTATTCATTTCCATTTTGAACAAGCAATTTTTACGTTGCTGTGATATTTTATGATCTTTTTCTTCCGACTTACGATGAAAGTGCTGAATTTATATGCTCGGGGTGTTTTTTTTATTCAGATCACTTTTTAAAAAACTCTGGTCTTTCGCGGGATCATTTCTGAGCTGCATGGGCCAGCCGCCTGTGCTCACCACTATATTAACCAGCCATGAGCTCGAATTAAGCTGCTTGCTTTTTTATCCTGCACTACAAAAACGTTCGATGAATTGAATCGAGGCAGCTAGTTGGTTGTAGTAACTCCATGCACGACTCAAATTGCAACTTTTAATTCCAGCCTATTTGATATTATCAGCCTAAAAATCCTAGTTTTGCCAATATTTAGTTTAACAAATTATCCGAGACTAATTAAAGGGCAGTCGGGACATTTAGGGCTTTGCCCTGATAAAAGCAGTCATCTTTTGTTTGTTATGCTTCATTCAAAGTACACAAATGAACGGTTCTGTGCATTTAGCACAGAATTTTCCGGCCACAGTCAGTTTGAATGTAAGAGCTGATTTTTGGACTGTTTCTAATTATAGCCCTCCGCTAAGTTCTAGTTCCCATATTTAGTTATTTTTGATACGGCCATTTTTTGAAAAAAATCTCAACTTTCAAATTTCACAGAAACAAAAGATGGTCTTAAGGCTCTTAGAAATTCTAGAATAATATATGGATGTTATTTTTACAATAAAATTAACTCAATTTGAATCAACTCGACCAATAGTTAAAATTTATATTTCGCTGTGAAAACTGAAAATTAAATGCCACCTTTACACTTCCGCTGTTCGATATTGGTGTGCCTTGCTTTTAGCAAAGCAAATGAACGGAATCAAAAGTCAAACGCGAAAATTTTTTTAGCCTGAGCACATTTTAAGACTTCCTAAAAAACCATCGCGACGTGTAATATTCTGAACTACGTTCATCGACTCTCAGTAAAATTTTTTGGGGGTCTTGAGACGTCTCTGTATCCAAAACTGGACCAAAATTGATTTGTTGCCAGGATGCTGTCCCAGTCATTTTTTTTACTTTTAAAATGAAATCTTGACGATTTTGGATCTACTCAACAGTTGCCTCCATTTCAAGAAAGGGAGGCATATGTTAAGTAGATTAAGTTGTGGAATTTTCGACCAATCAGATAGCAGCAAAACTCGAATTTTAAACAACGCTCCAGTGCTAATTACTGCTTTTATTTATAGAGCTGCCAATTTTTTAAGTTGGTACCAAAGGGACGGCTATTATTCAGTAGATCCACGATGCTTTTCGAAATCTAAAATATAAATTCTATGTCATGATTTCGGTAATTGTTAACATGATTTTCCAATAATTTTTGATAACTTTCGTATTGAGTTTGATGAATTTCATAAGAGGTTAATTGAAGTCGTTACAACTACTCCAAACTATTTTTTCGCCACTGCTTTCTGGCATTACTTAACTAATGATTGAATTTGAAAAGAGAATATGGAAAATAATTTAAGATCACAAAAAATGTTGGACAGCAATCAGACAAAAATTAGCAATTAAACATTGACTTCACTCAAAATCGCGCTTGAATATTTCAATAAGTTCGTTTACACAAATATGAGTGATGTCAAAACAGCTGTACGAAACTGCGAAACATTCTAATCCAGAGGGTTTAGAGAAAGGTATTCTAGTTATGTACAAATTCATCATATATAAATTACTTTTTCGCAATATCAATATCAATAAACAGCCCACGATTTCGAATCCATTTTTGAAATTAGTTTGTTTTCCACCAATTAAAGGCTACGTTGGAAAAGAACGCCCAATCAAAACAATTCATCTTTAAGTACTGCGAGAAAGGTCATTGTTTCTGAATAGTTCAATTAAAGGTAATAAATTCTGAGCAAAAATAAGAAACTAACTACTATTGACTGGTCGATTGTATGAAATTAATGATACAGAACAATTAATTCACAGCAAAATGTGCTAGCCTTGAGCAACATTTTTGATAGTTGGTACAGGTAACAATGTTTCTTCTGGCTTTCAGATAAAATAGCACGCACGTCTTGGAATAAAAGAGACCTTTAACACTCGACTACAAAACAATTTTCAAGACAATTTTGAGTTCTCAGTTTATTAATGGATGGCGAAAAAACTGTTCCAATGCCCGAACAAAGCCACGAATTGAAAGCGAGTTTTCTTTTTGGGTTGCTTTTGTGTTTCTTTTTTAATTTCCTATTCATTGAAGCGCTCTAATCTGTCCTTACTCTGAGACGAACTCTCCACATTTCGTTTCAGACGCTTACGAATTTAGATCCCAGAAGAGCTACGTAACAAAATCAGGTCGAAATGAGATGGATGTTCTTTGGAGATGTGCTTAGAGATATGACGGCTTGCAATTGAGGGTATGAGAATCCACATTAAGGTATAGGCTGCAGGGTTCTAGCAAAGTGGTAATGCCACATCCACAAGGAAGTGAAGAACTCGGCAGTTGTCGAGAAACAGGGCGAAAAAAGATTAAAACGTCCACCTTAGTTAGAAAGCAGCTCCTCGCATACTCTGGATCCGAATATTTTGCAATAGTCCAGAGGTGTCCTGCCGTCACAATCTTTCATTCGGCTCTCTGCTCCAAACTAAAAACACATCAAGATCTATTTCACAATCATACATTTCATACTTAGAGTAGCAAAACCGGAAATTTGTCGGTAGCGCTCCCTAATCATTCTACTTCACCGAAACAGCGTTTTGTTTCATCGGAAACTACCAACATCAGGTAACGCGCAGAATTAACTAATTCTGAAGTTCACTGTTAACTAACATTTTTTTGAATTCAACAACACTAGGACTACTCACAGCTAAAAGTAGAGATGCAATGGCTGGTTGATTCGTCTCACAGCTCACGTGCATAGCCGTCTTCTGTGTTTTATCTGAGGGGTCGTGATGATTTAACTCTGCGGCTGAGTGCTGAAGGACTGCATTTGGGGGTAAAGACACCCCAATCCCTACCACACTGCTGCGTCTGGCGGGCGAGGGCGAGGGAGACACAGAAGAAGATGATCTGTTGGGGGCACAATGACCTAGCAAAAGTAGCACCAGAGGTATGTCCCTTCTCTGCACGGCTGAAATCAACTGCACTGCTAGCGGCTGCTGTGAACTGGAGGCTCGGCTGTTGTTTGTACTTGTTGTGCTTAAAGGCAGAGGCGACAAAAACTTCCTTTCTATGTACTTCTGTTGAATGTACGCTTTGCGTTCCTCGTCCGTACAGGTTCGGTTACACTTTTTAACACCTGAGAGCGAGTCGTTTGGAGATCCGAACAGTCGTCCCTCGAATACCTGATTTGCCACTAGGTTTCCGACTGAGATCATAACATTGTATGCACTGCTCGTCCAGTTGTCTAGGTCCAATGATTTGATTCGAGACACGTGTGTTCCCAGGTTTCTGTGGACTCCACTGCACTTTATGCACACCAGGATCCCAAATGTAACACTTGCCCATTTAGGGTCCTGCTCGTCACAGTCTGCGCATCTGAAATATAGTTCAAGCGTAGCCAACAGAAAGTTGAATGGACAGTTGGAAAATTGTCAATGCACGCAAAGAAACATCGAATTAGTAAAAAAAAAAACGGCAATATATGAGATTCGAACCTGCGTCCTACAGATTAAGAGTCTAATACACTAACCACTCAGCCACGGACTCATAATACACACCATACAAAAGCCACTACTAAAGCAGAGAACAGAATTTCATATTTAGAATCAGCAACCAGGCCGCGCCTGACTTTCAAAAGAGTTCGCACCTTTCAAGCTACAAACGCCCAGAGGGAGCGCAACTTCAGCAGGGCTGGTCAAATCCGGACAACCAAGTGTGTCCTCCTTTCTGCGGGAAAAGTCAGCCAAATCAAACTGTTAGGATCGGCTGCGGCCAATGGACTTAAAAAATTTTGATTTTTGCTAAACTTCAAATTTGAATTTCAATTTACTTTTGTTAGGAAATTCGTGTTTTCATTAAAAATGGGCCTTGAAATTTTTGTTTCCCAACCGGGCCGGGCCTCAATTTCAGGCCCGGTTCAAATTATGGCAAAAATACACTAAGATCATCGATAGTGTACAGAAAAAGATATATTACCTTAAAGCTCTTCGAATTTCTAGAACAATATCAATTTTTCACTTTTTGATAAAATTAGCCATGGAGAAAACTGGATCAATAGGTATTCAGGGCAACTCCTAAATAAGTCTCGTGATTTTTCCCAGTGTGGTCGCATCTATACATCGTTTAATATAATGTAACCTCGCAAAATTAATTGGAAGTCGACATAACTCATCAATTCCGCTGGGAAATCTGAAAATTAAAATCAGTTTTCAAAAACAGCCAAATGACTTGTTTCGTAAAATATATATTTTTTCGAATTTCAATGAAACATTCGACTTACATTGGAAAAAATGGACTGGTAATATAATAACATAACCAACGTTCTATTGGAAAAGCGACAACCAAGACGCAAAAAAAACTAGTAAAATAATTATCATAAAAAATTTTCCAATTGAGTTTCAAAGAACTAAAAACTCTTCCTTGTATAATAAGAATCTTGTATAATAGACACTTTTTTGAAAAAATAATCCAAATCGAGCAGACTGGATCAAAATATAATTTTTCTGGTAGCGTTGGGAAACCATAATACAAAATTTTGTTTTGAAAATGAAAATGTTTTTGCTATACCAAGCGTTATTTGCCTTCCATTCAGCAAATGAATATGTACTATGAAAATTAGAACGTTTAAGTGAATCAAATTCAAACCAATTTGAGCGCAGATAACTTTTCGCACAGAGGCGAAGCGAAGCTTCGAACAATTGCAATAGAACATACGTAGAAAACATAGGAAGTCGAAAAAAAATGAAACAAACCAGATTAACCAAAATATACGTATGTCTTGATGAATGAAAACTAGGCGCTCAGCTAAAGCTGGGGGTACTTGTTTGATGTTTTTTGATATTTTTATGCTGATGCCATGTGCATTGGGTATTTTCTACATTTCAACTATTGAACTTAGCCCAAAACCTTTACTGTTTCTCTACTAAAATAGCTGACAATGAAAGATTCTGAGAAATTAGACTTTCGCCAAGGACAACATTTTTCTTTCAAAAAATTAAAAATTAGCATCTGCAGGGAAAACCCTTCATCTTAGATTTATTAGGGAAGTTTTTAAAAGCTTAAAGCCTCTAAAAACGGCCAAAAAATTTGACTTTCCAAATCCTTCTGCAAAAAATAAGTCAAGAAAATACTCATAAACCGAGCTTATCGACTGAACACTTTGGCATGTTTTCGAGAAAAAATTTCAAAGCTTCGTCTTTTGTGCAGGCCATAATTTTTGCCTAAAATTTGGATGTAGCCGCTCATCCGGTTAAGTTTTCAACAAGCTGATGTTTCGATTAAAACCTGATATCAGATTTGGCAAGATAGTTATCGAGAAAAGTAAAAAAAAATTAAAAAATATGGTTTTTCCGAGAAATCATAGCTTTTTGTGTAGAAAATGGGCGCAGCCTCTTATGCAGGGGAGTTTCCCACAATCTCAGATTTGATAGGACACTTTCTGTGTGCCTGCAAAATCCCCGTCTCCGCTTACCTTACCCCACTATCTACAGCTTTTAAAAAGTCTGTATGGGGGAATTTTTTTTCATTTTCTCGAAAACTGCTCTCCCAGTTTTTCCCTGCAGTTTTCGGGTTCAATGGGAAGATCATTCCCATGCATACGCGATAACGCCCAAATGTTTTCACAAAAAATTATGGCCCTCGAAAAAATCAAACTTTCAATTTTGGAACTTTTCTCAAAACTACAATCCCAAATCTGAGTTTTAAATTTCAATCAAAAGGATGTGTAGGTCAAACTCCCCGGCAAGAGCTGCTAGACCCAATTTTTTACCTAAAAAATTATGCTCTCGGAAAAGTCAAATATTTGATTTTTTAACCGTTTTTTTTTGAAACTTTGTGATATTTCTCAAAAACTAAGCTCCCAAATCTGAGATTTAATATTTCAACAGAAAAAGTAGATTATTAGAAGCCCCCTGCATAAGCGGGTACGCCCAAATTGTTTACACGAAAATTTATGAACCTCGAAAAAGTAACTCGAGCAGACAAACGATAGTCCGACAATTCATTTTTAACCGGAAAAAAAATCAATTGCACGCATAGCTATTTGAAAAAAAAGCACGGTCCGACCGTATATGGAAACCCAGGCCTTAGGGTGCAAAGGCAACAACCTTACCTCCAGGCAAAAAAGGGATGAACCAGGAAATTGAACATAGCCATCTGACAGTTGGAAAAGAGTAATGAGCGCAAGGAAACTGAAAAAAAAGAACTACTTGGTTTTTCAATCAACTTTGAATTTCGAAGAAAATAAATGGCCTTAAAGCTCTTTGAATTTGCAGAATAATTGATGATTAATCATTGATTTTTGTCAAAGTTAACCCAAACTGATAAAACTGGATCAATAGGAAAATATATTTTTTTCGCTGGTAAATCTGATAATTAATTTCCATTTTCGAAACTGGAAGTCGATCACGTTTTTCGTGACCTCTACAATTTTGCTGTTCGTTAGGGGAGTTTGTCTCCCTTTTAAAAAAGAAACTTTTTCCTGAAAAAAAAACAAAAAAAATCAGCAAAATCTATATAAAATTACTCACCACGTTCATTACTCTTAATACGGTTTCATCATAAAAAAAACGATTTATTGTAAGAAGCTGTTTACGGGGTGATCTGGTACTCGATCACAAGACAACTGCTCTGGCAAATGTAAGAAACGTTCCTAAAAAAAGAAAATACGACCTAAATAAGTAACTTCACTTCGTACATCGACACTTACCAAATTCCGCTCCAATAGTTACATCAAAAGTCAACCCAACAACAAAGATAAACAACAAACAGCCACCAGACAGTTGGTAAAAATGTCAATGAACGCAAGTAAACAAAAAATACTGACTTTCTCAACTTTCAACAACTGAATTTTCGATTTTACCAGAAAAATATATGGCCTTCATTCTCTCAGAAATTCTAGAACAATTTAAGATTGACACTTTTTTGACAAAAACAATCCCAATTTGAGAAAACTGTAAATTTTTTATTTCGCAAGAAAATCTGAAAACTAAATTCAAATTTCGAGACCAGAAGTCGATCACGTTTTTCGTGAACTACGTTAATCGATTCCTTAAGTTTTCTTGAACAAAAAGGTAAAGAAAAACCCAAAACTTTATTTTTAGTTAGTTTCCTTGACGCTCTTAACTTCACTTTTTCAACTTTTTTAGATACTGCGCTCAAAAAATGAATTTAAAATACTACACTTTAAAATACATGTAAACATTTTGCTGAAGTTCCAAGTGAATGTAGTCCAAATGGAAATCAAAAACAGGCATTGGTGAAAGAAAAAACCTAAATTGGGGCTATTTTTGTCCACTAGTGTGACATGACAAAGTTTCGAAAATTAAATTCCAGTTTTGAAAATAGAAGTCGATCACGTTTTACGTGACCTTTTATCTTGAGCTGTTTGATGGTGGAGTTAGCCTTCCTTTTAACAAAGGAAATGAACTGAAAAAAATCAGAACTCAAACCGCAAAAAATCAAATTTGAGCGTGAGTTAATCTTAAGACTTTTCCTGAAAAAAATACTAACAAATCATCGCCACCTATATAAGGAGCTGAACTAAGTTCATCGGCTCTTAAAAAAACTACGCTTAAGCTCTTTGAACTTTTTGAATCTCTATTCCTCTGTTGTAATAAAACTAACCCATTTTGAAAAACTAGCTCAAAAGATACTTTTTAAAATGGTTAAATAATATTACTGGGAAAATTTAAGTCGATTTCTGAAACTAAAAAGCATTCACGTTTTTTGCGCTATTAACACTTTTGCCATTGAACAGGGAAATTTTCCTCCTCAGAAATCAAATTTGAAATCAATTTAAAGCCAGAAGTCAAACCTCATGAACAAATATTAGTTTCCTGAAAAAATAACATGATCTACTGAGAGATAAACAAGAACTTCAAAATGCGAACATAAGGTCATGAAGCGAGGCGGTTGCCACTGCTTGCCAATGATAAATCCACAATTACGGCATCCAATTTTGACCGACTAAGCCTAACACATTCTAACTGCGCCTTCGTTGCCAAGATTTAGTAAATTTGAAGATGAGCATGCTTTTTTCATCAAAAAGGTTGTGGTGCCGGTAATTGTAGCAAATTGAAACATAGCAATCGAAGATTTGACACTTGACTTTTGAAAAAAAAAACACTTGACACTTTCTTGAAAAAAATAGAATTTCAAAGAAAAAAATAGATGCCCTTTAAGCTCTTCTCTTAGAATTTCCAGAACAATTTATGATTGGCGCTTTTTTGATAACACGAACTCAACTTGAGAAAACTGGATCCAATAGGTAAAGTTTTTATTCCGCTGGGAAATCTTGAAAGTAAATTCCACTTTCGAAACTAGAAATCGTTCACGTTTTTCGCGCCATTTCCACGTTCGTATTTGGAGAGTGCTATTTACCTCACTTTCAGCAGATGAATTTCAATTGAACTCAAAAAGTGCATTATACCTCCTAGATTCGGATAATTGCATGTTACATCGAGCGTAGAATAGTGAATATCTAACCTGTTATTTCCAGGAAGTGAAAGTATGGCCTGTTTATGTGCGTCGTTCAAGTTAAGCGATGGCAAAACGAAAGGCGAGTAGTGATCTCCCAGTCCGTTCACGCCGTGTGTTGACATGTGCTGCTGATGTTGATTACTACCCCTTGGGACTGAACCCCCCGAGGAGCTGTGGTGGAATTGTTGCACGTAGGGGTAGTTGGGGTTCTGGCTGTTGTAATGAGTGGAGCTCTGATTCTGGTTTGTAGATGACATGATGTTGTCCAAAGATGCTCCGGTGGTGTTTGTGATCGTGGAGTCTGGTCCACTGAGAAGACTCGTCTCGATCTGCTGCTGAATGGCCGATATCCACTCGTCACGATCCTAACATTTCAATGTGAGAGTAAATAAATTTTAACTCACTAAATCTATAAGAAAAAACTACAAAGCACGAAACATATGGTTTAGGCAGTTATTTTCTGGACTAGTCAAATTCACGACATGTTACAATGAAATCATCGTTGCTTCAAAAACTGATGAACACTCCCGAGTCTTATGCTTCCTACTTGACTAGTCATTCAAGATTTGTTAACTTCAATCAAAATGATATAAAACGGTATATGGCTCAGGGACTCAAATCTATAGACAAAAACTGTAAAGGATGATTTCGCTTACCTCAGGTGAGTTTGCTTCGAACTGCCACTTCTTGTCCATTTTGATTATCATGAACTCCACGTCGTCGGAATCTAAACATTTACACATTATCACCAAGGCTTAAACTAGAAGAACTTTAAGCACAACTCAGTCTACCCTAAGTCTCATTTGATCTCTAACTTACATTAACTTACTATCTGTGAGCATAAAATGCAGCCATTGATGGGATAATGCTTTTAATTTTACCAACCGTCGTTTAAGGCGGAATGTCTTGTCTGACTGATGCTTTTCTGTCTTCTGTGTTTCCTCTTGTTCCCTCCGGAAGCCTCCTTTTCCTTATCTTTTCCTCCTCCACTCGACTGACCATTAGTTTGCTGCTGTTGTTGCAGAGAGAGTGACTGGTGGTCTGTTGTCAGATCTGGAGTTGCACGTGTGTTCTGCTGCTGCTGCTGCGGGTGGTTAGAGGATGACACCACACTGAGGTTGCTGTTTAGGTCGAAGGAGGCCGAGTTCAGCACCCTCGATTGTGACGACTGTGGAGTGGATCCGTTGTACGAGTTGCGACAGCCCACTGCAGAAGCATCTGAAAAAAAAACAACTGGTAACTATTGAGTAAACTTTCGGGTCTTACTGAACATATCTTGAGTGGCTTTCAAAAAGGTGCACAAAAGTTCTAGTTCTTATTCAAGTACCTATTATCAATGCACCAGAAATGGTATTGTTTAATTGAACAATACTTTTAGAAATTATCTACAACTCTCTCGAAGATATGGAAGCGATTTCCAGTAATTCGAAAGCGAACCTGGGTCTATGTGCATGGAGTTGACTCCATTGATGAGTACTCCGCTCACGTTGTTTCCCAGCAGGTGTGTGGGTGTTGAAGGTGAAGATTTGCTAGCAGCACTGGCTGTCGTTATAGACATGGACTGGGTCCTGCTCCCGAACGCGTTTGTTTGATTGGGCGCGACAGAGGCGGAGCCAAAGTTACTGGTAGGGAGTGCGTTTCCGAGCCCTGTGGTGCTACGTGGCCTGCATATTGCAGATGCTTTCACAGATGAGTTGTACAGTGAAATTTCTTTGCACGTCTTAGCATTGTTCGACTGGTAGTCCTAGATCAAAGACCAAATAAGATCACCCATCAATAGCACCATTACAATGCCAAAAAAACGTTGCACTTTTCGTATATCTCATATTTCTCAATTATTTGGGTAAACAGGATGGATAAAAATTATGCGGTTTAAATGAGTGCATTTCAAACGTGACGATTCACGCAGAAGACATAATAAAAAAGAGCGTGTTTACTTACTGCATAGTTTGGGTAGTATGTGAGGGTGGCGTTGTCGTTTAAAGTGACATACTTCTTCTTCCACTCTCTGCCCAGTGCTTTGCTGCTACGTTTGTATAGTAGACCCTACACATTACAACCTCATCATCAAATGGTGGTTATTAAGTCAATATTTATCAATTAATTCACCCTTTTCAGATTTAATTATTTCGTGGAGATGGAGAGATGAAGACGGCATTAGACTCCCAATCCGAAGTTTTTACTGTTTCTCTTATCTTATTCGCACAACTAACGCTCATTTTTAAGCTTAATTCAATCACTCCCCTGCGCATTCCGATAAAAACGGCGAGATATATTGAAAAAAAGGCAACGAGTACTGCAGTCAGGAATTATTGAATTGACACCTGCACTGCAAACGGGTGCTCTTGTTTTATTTGTTTTTAATCTTTTCTCTGTTACTCCGGCTGGGGTTACTAGGGTTTACTGGTTTCTAGTTGAAATCAGAACTTTTTTGAATCAAGATGCATCGATTGCAGCACCATATATGGCGAATTACCTCTTTGATTGGAATGGCTCTACCCACGCCCAGCCCTGGGAACGACTCGCAACTCGCTCTCGCATTTGGCGCAGAGGGCATCATCAAGCCTCCCGCTTGGGCGCCCACAGGGTTATTGCTACTGTTGCCCCCTCCTCCAGAATGGGTGCTGTTATGTTGGAGACTATTTGTGTTGAGAGGGGGTGCGAAGTTGTTCTGTTGTTGAAAATGACTGTTTATCAATTGCTGCTGCTGTTGTTGTTGTTGCTGCTGTTGCTGCAATTGATGTTGTTGTTTACGCTTGTTACCAGTCTGAAATAAAACCAACATTGCTGATATTGATTTCTAAGCCGATTACAAAGTAAATTTCTACTTGTGATTGCCAGCCAGATAATGAGATAGGTCAACATTCGAAAGGTATAAGGGTCAAATGATTAACATCAAAATTAGTCAACGATAACCAGATAAAAATAACAACACAGGCGAAGTGGATCTACGCAACACTACCGATACAACAACGTCATTGCGTTATAGAGGTCTCCCCTAAGGTACTGATTTATAACCTCAATTTTCGACCGTTCGACCCTATAAACTTTCTAAAGATGCCTACGCGCTATTAAAAGCTAATTTACAAGGGAGCGCGCGCGCCCAATAAAAGCAATAATATTTTACAAAATATGGTCTTTGTTTTCAGGGGGCTCCTACAATCAAAAAGGTCCAACTAACAAAAGCCGACAAAAATTTCAAAATCCAAGATCTACGATTAGATAGCCGGTTGCTGGGCAAGTAGCACTGAATGTTCCCCGACCACCTAAATCCAAGAAAAAAAACTTTAAAAAAACAACTGAAACTTTTTTCTGGACGGTGGGAAGAGTGCCATTAAATGATTATCTACAAGAATGAGGTTACTATAGTTAAACACAGAGGCGAAGACTCGCTTCGCAAACACTAGCGAGAACACGACAAAAAGCAGCTCTAGAAAGTGCAATAAAGTAAAAATAAGCCTCGAATTAGTAAAAAAAAAAATTCGGCCAGGTATAGGATTCGATCTACCACCTACTGCAGTATAGAGATTTTGAGTCTCACGCGCTAAGCATTCAGCCACGAACGCTTAACCATCGACTAACACTAGTCACGAAGAAAGCAGCTACATATGCCACTAAATTTCCAATGCCATTCAGCCTAAGCGGCACCAAATACAAATAGACACAATTTTCCAAGTAATAATTTGGAATATAACACTTACTTTGCATGTAACAATTCCGAAAGCAAAAAACCAAATTATGTATAAGTTATGCATTTCAAAAACTGTTAGTTTTTACTGTTGTACTGATATTTGAAGCAAATATCTTTTTCGGTTCATTTGAACAAAGAGAACTGCATCAACTGTGTTAACTTATAATTAAGCGAATGTCAACGAACATGCTATCAAAAAGCTGTAAAAAGGCCCCAAAAAATGCACCTAAATTTGTGATTTAATTAGAAAAAAGAAGGTTCGTTTTGATACACTAAGTAGAGTTGGACAGGAAATTCACTCTCTCTCATTCTTTCGTGTAAATTAGACTGAAAAACAGTAAAATTGAGACTATTTTTTCGACACAGACAATTCTTCACTTTTTTGGAATCCGAATCAAAAACCAACAAGGCTTTAGAATGATACCAAACTTTTCTCCCTATGAGCTTTGTTGAGGTACCTAAAATTAAATAGAAAACCAACCCTAAAGAGCTTCAGAAGTCAAACTGGGTGACTAAAGGCCAAAAATATGATATATGGACAGTATTAATTATGGGTCTAGGACAACAAGCCGACGGGACTTCAAGCCGAAGGGACTTCAAGCCGAAATTAAAACTTTACAAGCACCCCAAAACGCTATTTTATCATCTGCAAAATGTTGCTCTTCTAAAATTTTGGCAAGTTAAGTCCATAATAAGCGTTATTCATGACAATGCACCACTTGTGATTCGCATCCGTTAATAACATCAGCCGGTTTTTGAAATGCATAAATTATAAACATGAAAAATGCCTTCAACCATGTTTTACTTTTCAACTTTCCGGAACATCATTTGGAACCTTAAATTATATGCAAACGCCAATAACTAGTGAAGAAAGATCATGAAATTCAGAAACTCTTCAAAAAAGTTTTCAAATTGTTCATATTTCACGACTTTATAAGGAATTATTCGGCTTGAAGTCCCTAATTTTACAATTCGGCTTGAAGTCCCGTCGGCTTGATGTCCGGCACCCATTAATTATAACCTCTTCGTTCCTGATCATTTAAACAATGTATGAAGCCATTTAAAGTCTCCAAAAAACAAAAAAAGGCTTACAACCGAAATATAAGCAACGGAATTCATTGATGCAATTGATATCATTGATTGTCCTCGTTTTTAATACATTTAAGCCAAAAAATTTGGTCGCTAGGTCTCGCACATACACTTTTGATACAACGAGCATGAATGTTCCATTCTGTTTAGACCGGAAACATGAAATATGTTTTTCTCGAAACCGATATAGAAATACTAGAATGCAGAATTACACATGATAAAGCAATCTTACTGTGTTTGCACGATCAGACATTCGACCCAAATGTTTCAACAGAGAATCTTAACTCGAACCCATTTCATACAAGCACACATTTAACAATAGAGTGTGCAGCATTTTCTATCAGAACAGGAAATATCGTAGTTGTCACAATTTAGTACCACAAGAGCAGAAATAACTTGTTTTTGGAAACATGAAAACTCGAATACTGTAGTTGCTACCATTGATCCAGCCTTTAGAACACTGACCGAATAAACTTAGGGTGACGTGAATGCATGTCTAGAAACTGCAGCATAATTCAGAGATTTCTCTATCTTCAGACAAGTGCTGTCTTCATGATTTATGGCTTCGTGTATTTACCTAGCAACTAGGTTTTCTATACTAACAATGAACTTTTCCACGGCGTACCCATAAATTTAAGGGCTGCCCCATTTCAAATCATTTCACACAATAAAACATTTCAAATCATTATTTAGGACTAAATATTTCCTAACATTTAATCGAGGTTTTACTTTTTATCGGTTTTGCCAAAGATGACAATCGGGTTTAACAGCCAGAACACAACAAATCCAAACCCTACCGACCGTGCATACACCGAAGACCCTCGCAAACTAAAAAAAAAATAGTCCAAAGCTTAGCAACACTAATCAAAAGGTTATGTTTTGCAGGTTATGTCTTGAACTTCAACTTACCTCGCATAGCAAACAATGCATGAGAAACTGAAAATGTCTTCTCTCAATTTCTCCTAGAGTCGTGTTGCAATTTAATTACAACCGCATACAAGCACACCAAATTCAATTCCATTGGAGAGCCACGCAACAATCTTCACTTCATACGGCTGATATCTGGCTAAAAATGGGGTTTAAAATTCACTTCTGGGACTTAAATCTCCTCAAGGCTATTTCTTTACGCAGATGAGAAAATAGCAAGGGGAAGAAGAGAGCAAATAATCGTCACTTTCTTCCTCAAGTTGAAACACACGTTGACGATGAAGAGTTTAGAACCCAATCGACTAGTCCAGACATCAAATCGAGCATTTCAACTCAAATTTATTTCTGCTTATGGCACTTTTTTGGACTTCGAAAACGTTCATCACATAAGTTATTGCCACCAAAAAAAAATCAAGTAATTGCAACGGTAATCGAAGGTGAATGTAATTTAATCGCTGAAACGGGTCTGCGAAGTGAAGTATTAAAAATTTTTCCAATGGAAATAAAAAAGTATTCATTTATTCATTTGATGCCACAATTTTAAAACAATATTAGGCCAGGCATCGAACTCTTTTCCTTGAACTGATTGGAGTCAAAATGCAATTGAAAAAAAAACAATTTAATCTTGCAATCAAAAAAATCCCATTCGGTCGAATGAAACCTTACTCAGCTCAATTTTCTGTTTAATGTTGGATTGAAACAAAAATAACAAAACTAAGCATAATTCAGGCAAAAAAAACATTCAATATGAACTGTAACTCAATGTCTATTTTTAAATGACAAGCGTTCATTGCTAATAAAATCAGCAATGACAAGCAACGTCTCTAAAAATATATCTTGCCTGGATAAAGACGACTAAAAGAAGCAACAGTCGCAAAGCTAGCTAAATCGTACACAGTTATCTAAATTGGTAGAAAACTACAGCTCAGAAAATAAAAATAGCTCATTAAGTTTCAGTTAGTTTCAACGTCATTTGTAATTTTGAAGTAAGAATTTAACAAAATGTTTCATTTTCGGTTTCACAGGAAAGAGAAATCCGTTGTTAGTAGCTTATGTATATAGCAGGATGACAAAATCATGGGACCACTACCACATACCACAAAGGCCACGCAATTTATGGTAATAAGATGGTAGATTCATGCTCACACTAGCATTGAAGCGCAACTTTTCTGTTGTAGCGCTAAATTAGCTAGGAATAAATTGCTGTCGCTGTTCAGGCGTGGAAATATTGAAATATATTTTCTGTGTGGTTAAATTGAAGCGCATACCGTCATGGTAAAAGCTCACCGAACAGACAAAGTCAGTCAAAAAAAAACTTTAAAGAAGTGAAACAGATAAAAAGAAATAAAACTGAAGTACCAGCATCAAAAAGGAATGAAGATTAGAAAAGATATGGTTCAATGTTCTCCGTTACAAAACAAAAATGAGTTCATAAACTACCAAATACAAAAAAGATCAATTTTGCACCATTTCTTTCTGTCAAAAAAGCATTGGCGGCAATTAAGAGGATATGTTATTGTCTGATTTAGATTCTAGCCCCAAGATAATTCTGGCATTAACTTAAGGCCTTACAGGGCTGATGACAAAAACTGCTTTGGGGATGGAAGACTGCATTCGGGGGTCACGAAAATACAATAAGTTTAGTGTGACACATCGTTAAGTTTTCCTCACTGTAGACGGGGATACCATGAGGAAGACGCAGTATTTTCTTTCTAGAGGCTTTAACTAGATCAGCGTGGAGGACACTTCCATGTACAAATACTAATCTAGTTCCTAGTAAAAAAACAATAGTTCCATAAAAGAGTAATTTACCACGCATGATTCCATGCCGCATATAGATCATCCTTTAATCGCCCACAAAGTTTAACTTAGATCCGGCCAGGCTTTCAAAACCAATAAAATATCTTCACTAGTCGCAAATGCTGCTTAGCATCACAAACCGAATTGCCACCTTATCTGTTCTCATTAACATACTAACTCTCCAACCACTTGCCCAAAATTGTTTAAGCTAGGAAAGTTCTAAATCTGAAGACCTCAAGACCCCGAGCCAACTTAGGGCT